TGTTATGGGGAAAGAAGGGAGGCGATGTTCTCTTCTAAATGTGTGCCTGGAACAATTTACTTTTGTTCTACTTCAATTTGGGGATAGATGCATGAACAGGAAGATTTAAACACAGCGCAGAAAAAAGCCAACAGCAGGAAGACGCTTGTGGAAATGTAGAGATTGCCAGTAGAGTGAGAGCTCTAGGAGAGGGCAGGAGATGTGGGCTTGCTTTCTCCCTGTGCACCGAGCACTCACTGTCTGTAGTTGTAGGCAATATCTGCAAACTCCTTCCTCCGGGCCCGGTACACAGGATCTTTGAACCCCTGAAGAGAAACAAGGATGGTCAGTCCCTGTGTAGGCACAGGTGGTGAACAGTCTTCCTCTCACCGAGCACCCTCGGGCATGGCTGGTGCGGTCCGAGAAGTGCAGGAGGGTGAGTGGGGAAGCTGCCTCCATCCTGCCCAGCTCTGTGCATACAGGGCACCGCTATATCTCTGTCTGCGGGGCCACTAAAGCAGACGTTCAGCCACAGCTTCCCAGCACCTCTCACTCCCCAGGTCCTTTCATTTTCTCATTTCCACTCGCTACAAAAAAGGGCAACATGCTCCTTTACAGTGCCAACAAGGTGCTTCTGCAAGAGCAATACACTGAAGTAACGGCACTCAGATAACCGTGTCCTTTTGGTTTCTCATGAAGGTTCTTGCAGTTCCTGACAGCTTGGCTGATCTAGAGGAGCAGAGTTAAACCTCGTTAGAAACACGCTCATCAACTCAGTCAGACTTTTCAGGCAGATTTTCAGCATGAACCACACTTAAAGGTGTTCATTTTCAAACTCTTAGAAGAACAGTAGGCACTTAGCAGGCCAAAAAGCCCTATCTGCACTACAAACTCAGCCATTTGAAAGGGTTTAATTACTGCAGAGAATGTCTAATAGATCTTATGGTTGGGAGCTTGACCTTTGCAGCTAATTACCAATAAAACCAGGGATGAGAAATATAATCTCTAAATCTTCATCTAGGATAACCATTCTCCTATCTCAGTGTGCCTGCTATTTAGACTTAAAGTTCCTCAGGGCTAGGAGTGTCTTCACCACCTAAAGCAGAGAAAGTCCTTCCAAGCTAGGGCACACTTCTGCAGGGCAAATAGCAACAATTCACTGGGCACTGCAGCCATTCATGAACGAATCTTTCTGTGGTGCACAGCACAACTGGACTGAGGGGCCACGAAACACAACCAAGTACAGAAGGCAGCTGAAGTAGAGTGGAGATCTAAGAGTGTGAGTCAAAAAGGGGCAGCCAATGGCCTAAAAAATGTGCTGTCCAAGATTAACCTGGCATAGAGGTATTTGTGATGAAATTCCGTATCACTTAACTACTAAAAACACAGGCTCCTTTAATTTCTCTTTTTCTGTACTCTATGCACTGTCACACCTATTTACGCCAGCAGCTGGGTTTCTTTTTTAAGGCATAAACTGCTCACTAACTAATTATAGGAACTAGAGCAGAGCTGTTTCATTCCTTTTAATATCTTTTTTTTTTCCTTTTGGTCTCTTTTTTCAAACACAATCTTGGTCTATTCCCGCATGACACACAAGGGGGCCATTGACTCAGTGTATCTCCTTTCATTCTGCCTTTCATATGACCACACTGAATATCATGAATCATTGTACGTGATACACAACACATCTCAAATTAAGCAATAGGTAGTGAATGACTAATCACCCCATCTCAATTAAACTAATAGCAGCAATTTTTGTTGCGCTGCATGTAATTTATTTATAATCACCCTATCTCAATTAAACTAATAGCAGCAATTTCTGTTGCACCGCATGGAACTCAGTGTGTTTTGACAAATGAAAATAAGTTGTTGTTTGCTTGGAGACGGAATAGAGACAGAAAGTATTCTTGTATCTGGAAGAGCTGAAAAACCACTGAATAAATTTTTTAATCAGCTAAACCAATGAACAAAACTTTCTGACCCTACCATTTAAACCACAAACCTTTAGAAACAAGGACCTTTTCTTTTGTTGTGTCTCACCATATAAGAATCATGTCAGATTTAACAACCACATAACAAGGCAGTAAGCTCAATTGTGTGTATGTAACCAAGGACAAAAAACCAAGTCTTCCTATCTCTGAGCTATAATACGTTGCTTCTGAAGTTTTTATTGCTAGTGATTCACAAAAGTCACCACATCAGAGCCACCCGAGAAAACTAGAGGTGTCCTTGTGGTGGCCTTGTGCTTTGATGACCGCTATGACTTTTAAGATCTCCTGGTATTTGCTCGAATTAAGGCAACCTTTGGTCTGATTTACTTCATAACCAGGGATCAGGCTGATTCTAACCGTAGAAATATGGTACTCTTCTTGTCCTGTACCATGTGAGACTCAGTCTACTAGATCTGTTTTATAGCAGAGCAAATGTAAACGAGAGAAACACCTGTCCCAACAGCTAGAAACATGTTTAAAAAATAAAGGTACATTTCTTACAGGATGATCAGCATCCAATTCTGCTCCATAGCTTAGGATCTGATTGGCAAACCTGTCCAGCTCCTGGATACTTCTTGGGAACCACGGCACTGCAAAACAGAAAAGAAATAAAGACTGGTATGTTGTTTTTAACTTGGTTTGGGGCCTTCTTCTGGTCTTTCCATCTTTTCGTCATAAATATAAAGAACCACACACAAGGGACTAAATTCTTTGGGCTGCAATGGCCTTTCCCTGTAGCAGGAGGCAAGACCAAACCCTGAAAGTTGTTTTGAATTTGTGGCTGTTTTGCACTGTGGGAAGAATACAGAGCGTTAGGAATCTCTAGCCCTTGGTGCAGAGCTGGCTTGTAATGTTTACAATTTACTGTTTATTATTCTGATCTATTGGCTTATCGAAATGGAGGAATTTTCCAGATTATCCTTCCTTTCACAGTTCTCTATTGCCTTGTAACTCACATACTATTACACACTGCCTACAGCACAGCCAGGATATGAAATGAGATCACACTGACTACACAGCATGCAATGCCCATGTGGCTCTCCCCTTACAGAAGGATATAAAGCGGCAGGCAAGGAAGAATGACAGGACTTTCCAGGTGCAATGTGTTCAGATAGGGGAAAGCGGAAGGCGAGTGTCTTCATGGCAATCATACTATGAGGAGAGGCTCTTTGCAGCTCGTGAGGTACTTGGAGAGGTCATCCCAGGTCAGGTCTTCTTCGTGGATTCATGAGTGTATTCACCCAGCGGCCCAGGCAGTCCCCTGCCACATGTCCCCTTGACCGCAAGAGTCCTGGCTTACATGCACAGCAGCTGTACCAGGCTGCAATTCCCTCTTCCATCTTCTGCAGCAGGTTTAAATTATTATTCTATGTCTGAATTTAACATTATGTAAAGAACTTACGCCTGTAAAGAACTTCTCACAAATACAACTAATTGCTTTTTAAGACTGTGTACGCACCTGCCTCCAGGAAACTCTGCAGCACTGAGCTCTATCATTTCTTTTCATGCTATATGAAAAATTACTCCCTTTTGTTTTAAACTTGATTATTTTATTTGATGTTAATTAGTTCCTGCATACAAACACCAGTTGTTGGTTTTCACCTTCTCTGGGTCACCTAGGATTTTATAGGTCCCTGTCAGATCCTTCATCTACTATTCATCTTCCTGGCCGACTTTGCCTGTGTATTTCAGGTACAGAAATCATGGGCTATCTTTGAGCGTTCTCAACACTTCTCTCTGCACCACTTGCAGTTGACCATACTTTTTCTAAGGAAAGGGTACCATCTAAGAGATCTAAGAGACCTCCATCTAAGGAGGTACCCCATGCTCAGGTCATGCAATCATGTCCCATATGCTCCCCACATTAAGTACAAGTCAGCAACATGGACTTCAAGGCTAATATCACCCAAAGGTCTGCTGGTCCAAGCCCAGGGGCCCGCAGGAGTCTCTCTATCAACAAAATGTTTGCAGTTCATTTAGTGACTTTCTTGCACGAACGAGTGTCGCTTGCTCATTCACTCCTTGCAAAACAGCCCATTGCCCTGTGTGGCTCTCTGCTCGGCTGGGAGCGCTGCCGCGCAGCCATACCTCCCCATCTGATTTTGGGGTTTGTGTCAAGTAAACCTGATCCCCAGCCAGCAGCTGCTGCCTGAGCTCCCTGCAGTGCCCTGCTGATGGACCACCGACAGGATAAGAGGATCACTCTGGCTCCAGGACTATTCAGCCTTGCTTTCTGCTGAGCCTAGCAATACAGAGGGCACTTGCGGCGCTGGGTTTCTGCGAGGCGCCTGCATAGAGGAGCTGGAGCTACAACAGCAGATTTACAGAGCACACTTTGGGCAGCCGTGGGTCAGTCCCATGCTCACTCCTCCCGACCTACCGTCCCACCACCAGCCTGGTTCCATCCAACACTCCCGCTGGGAACCCTCAGATTTGTTTCAGGCAGGCCGAGGAGAGGAGGCAGGTGGTGGCTTCAAGCCGGGAGAGGTCCCGGGCTGCCCAGGCTCCTCGGGCTGCAGAGATCCGGCAGAAACCCGGCCCGGCGGCTCGGCAGTGCTCCTGGCTGTGTCCCCGCTTCTCCTGCCCAGCAGAAGTGAGTTTTGGTCCCCCCCTTTCCGAGCAGCACAACCTTCAGCTTTGCCCTAAAACCCAGACCTGAACACGCCACTAGATGGCAGCAGCAGCCCCGGGAAGATCTTCCCAAAATTGCTTTATTGACTGGATCTATCGCTAGCTCTCTAGTTATTCTCCAGAAACACTGGCTCACGCTGCTGTTAGCAACCTTCCTGCACCTCCAACCCCTTGAGTTAAACTAGTCAGAGGAGGTGAGAAGAGAAAGGTGTGTCTGAGTCCTAGAGAGGAGTCACTACTCCCTGAGGCCATGTGAAGAAGGGTGAGCGCACCCAGCCATCCTGCCCCTGGTTTCTCTGTGGGCAGCCGGGCACCCGGTTTATCTCCTAGCTCTGCCACTGAGCTTTGTGTGATGGTGGGGGGATGGTTTCGCTGCTTTGTACTTCGGACTCCCCACTAGCAGCTTGGGGTGAGGCACACCCAGAAATGTTTTTGGATAGGCACTGGAAAAAAAGCTGTCTCGCAGCCCCACAGCAAAGGATTTGTTGGTGTTAGATGAATAACCACTCTTCTCAGGGATGCCACCACGAGCTGAAGGGTCCAGGCTGTGCAGACAAGTTGGTGGGGGCTGAAGCCTGCAGTGGATTTCAGCAGTGATGTCAGAGCTCAGGATAAACTTTGGGATAGACTGACTCTCGGGCTGATGCAGTGACAGTCCCTGGGATGGACATGGGTGACTTTTTTTCCCCCTACACAGGAGCAGCACCTTGTCTGTAGGCATGCAACCCTATAGGTACCTGAACTATCTCCAGCTGATCTCTGCCCTCCTCCCAGGTCCCTCCAGACACTGGCAGTAGCTAAGAGAGAGCAGCTCTGAGCTCACAGAACTGAATGAAAGGCAGACTACAATAGGGAAATCCTAAGGAGGCTTAATGGTATTTACACTGACATAGCTGATGTTAAGTAGGGTCCTGGAAAGTCTTGAGCCTTCTCAGCTCTGGTGGAAACAAGAATCGAAGGTCCTGAACGCAACCCAAGGGCAGGCATTACACCAAGTCCGTACAGCCATCGCATCAGGGACCAGGGTGCAGAAGGGCTACTGGGTCTTTCGCCTAGCTGTGGTGTGCCAGGAGGCCGTCCCCAGCCCTCCCAGCAACTATTTAAAAGATCAAATCAAATTACCCCCTGGCTGAATCTATCCCATATTTTGTTTGCAACATCCTCCTCCAGCCCGTTCACCAGACTCGCTGTCTGTCTGCACGGCCATTAATGAATTGCCAGGGCAAGCTGTTGCAACACTGGGCCTCTGTGAAGGTCTGAGGAGCAAACGTGGGCTGATCAGTAATAAATATTGATTTGTCTGTAAGTGAAACAGCAGCATTTATGGGATCGTGCTGGACACCCAAGTGGTGACCAAATTACCACGGGGTCAAATGCTTAGCAGAATGCTAATAAGCCATTTATAGGAGAGGCAGCAAAGCAGGGGCAGCAAGGACTTCTGCAGATCTCCTCCATTCGGACCATTGTGAGGAGGGTCAAAGACAGGTCTATGCAATTTATAGCAGTTCGAGGCCCAGGTTTAGCCCTTTTTTAAACAGTCCCGAATGCTTTGGCCAGCCTCAGGGTTTAGCAAACAAGGCCCCTACAGAACCTCAGCTCCCAGGCTGTCTCAGAAATGCAATAAATTGTCTGCATTTCCCTAATGCTGCAACAGAATAATATTTAATTCTTTTTATTCATAGGCTCCAAGTGGACTGCAGATACTCAGCTTGTTTCCAAAAAGAACCATGAGGAGATGCACTGTGTTTTCACAACAAATCTTCCCATTCTACAAAGGACTTTTGGCCCAGTGACTGCTAGCCCATCTCATCTGAAGCTCTAAAACTACCTTTGGATTTAGAGCTCTCAGCGAAAATTACACTGTTGATCCAAATCTGGCATTTGCAACTATTTGGGTGTGTCAAAGAGAAACCAAAATTACATTCTGCATTTGATTGAGAAAAGACCCTAAAAGTTGTTAAAGTGATCAGACAAAAACAAAAAAAAAAGGAGAGAGAAAGCCATTTGTTTAGCCCTTGCTCAACAAAGCACATACACGTGTTTAACACTGAATTATACAGAAGAGGCAGAATACAGAAGTTTCCTCTGACTGTTTGCAAAGTGCTATCCCAAGAATGGCACTGTGTGCTTCCTACAGGAAACTGAGCAAAATAGGGTTTTTCTTCTCAAGTCATGAGCATGAGCAAAATGAATCCTTAGCAAGGAAGGGCTGAGAGCATCTTTAGGCAGCACGGAGAGAATCAGTCCCATGGGAGCCTGGACTGCCTCCAGGAGCAAACCTTCCCAGCCTTTACCTGCCCACTGAAAAAAGTGTGACAATATCCCCACAAACCCTATTTCTGAGATTTTTCTCCCTGGAGGCATATCACTCTCATTCTGTGTTTTAGGAATAGAATTTCACAGAAGTACATCTGTGGATTATGGCCAGATTTGCCAGGAGGATACGTTTGAAAGGCAAGCTGACCTAAAAGGCACCATGAGGCCTGTTATTTGTTAATGCCATCACTGATAGGGGACAGCATCTTACCACACTTTTTACAGCTTGGGCTGCTCTCATCTCACTCTGCCCCTGTAGCTGCCTCAGCCCAGAATTTGCCACCCACAGTTCATTCCCTAAGCAGGGCTTGTTTGACCTTTCAAAATACAGCTCTTCAGGGATTTCAGTTTGACTGGACCCTTACTACTCATGAGAGAAGTTGAAATTGAAAAAAAAAAAAAGGAAAGGGCAAAAAGAAATATCAATCTTTCTCTTTTTCCTCAGTAATAAATTACTCCCACTTTATACTATTTCTGAATTATTGAAACTAACAAACACAAGTTATCCTTTCAGGCAGAAAGGGATCAAGTCCCTTTCTGCAGCACTGACAGGATAATCGAGCTCAAAAAACCTTTGATCAACACAATAACATGCAGTGAAATCCTAATCCTACAGCTGACCACAGGAGTTTTGACTTCTGTG